GGTATTTGCTCCAGAGGGGCCAAGCAGTCTCCCAGCCACTTGGACAGACCCGACTCCTGCAAATCAATCAATGTTTATTTATATAGCCCAATATCACAAATGTTAGATTTGTCTCAGTAGACTTTACAGTTTGTAGAGAATATCAATACGACACCCTCTGTCCTTAGACCCTCACATCGGACAAGAAAAAACTTCCAAAGAAACCCCACAGAAGAAACCTTGAGGAGAGCAACCGAGGAGGGATCCCTCTCCCAGGACGGACAGACGTGCAATAGATGCCGTGTGTAAACAAATGCTTTAAGCAGAAAATACTTGAAACAAAGAAGTGCAAGAACTCCTCATATTTACAACATTCGCAATCATTTCTTAACGAACAATAGTAATAGTTATCAAAACTAACATTTAAAGCTCATTAAAGAATGGGAAGTTTGAACAGATATGGTTTTGATGTGGGGTTTTATGAAGTACTTATCTATATTCAATGTACAGTACGGGCACATCCGCAGTTTGTAAAAACAGAGTACCAGCACGGAAGTGAAGCATGCACTGCTGTGGACAAGGGCAGTAACACATATTTTAGCTGTATAAATAAATGATCACAAAAATAAATCAATATCAGGTTATGTGTACGCTATATTTACAGCTTTAGACCAGCAGCTCATGATTTGTTAGGAAAAATGACTAATTGCAATCACAGCAAGTGAAGTTGAATCAAGTGGTGAAAACGTTCCAAAATAGCTTACACTTAAAGTGATTATGATTTTTTTAGGTGGACCTTTTTGCAGGAGGCTCAAATAGCTTCTGCCCCTGCCCACTGAAACACATGCTTTACTTCCGTGCCATAAGGACTGTCTGCACTGCAGATATCCCTACCGCCATCTTCGGTCAGAACGGATAGGTACCTCGTACAACCACACTCAAAAACATCAGAACTATCCACTTAAAAGTAGAAAACCCAGTGTTCATGAATGTTTACCTCACTGCCAGCAGCCAGAGCGAAGCCTCCTCCCAGCAGCAGGATGATGTTCCAGGGCATTCGCTCGTGGACAACCTGCCAGCACAGCAGAGTTGGGGGGCTATTCACCGTCTGACCTGTTAGATGAACACCAAACATACATAGCAGTGACATATCCACTGTGTAATCATTACAAGTAGCACCAATGAGATGAAGATCGAGTTACAGGAACATCATTATTTGGGATTTTTATCACTAGAGGATTTAGAGTGTTACCATTTTCGTCGGTACCGTAGCCTCCACACCGAGGCCTCTGGGAGGGGATGATGAAGAAGAGCATCGACATAAAGATGGCGACGGTTCCATCTGTCACAAACCTGAGGGATGCCAGGCAACATTGTTCAAATATTGTGGATTAAATATGTTGCTGCCATGTTTTCTGTTTTGAAAATGTGTGTCGACACTCAAACTAACTACACTTCTTTATCAAGAGACCAAAATATTTGACTGGCGTACCAGGGTTAAGGAGTTTCTTCACACTTTGATGGAATAAAGAGGGGTCCGAATAAATTAAATAAAACTGAAATAATAAAAGGATGCAAGAGAGAAGATTAAATTATATTTTCAACAAACTCTGTAAAAAGACCAAAACCAACATGGTCTCTCTCTAAACGATTCCCAACCAACCCAACCTGTTTGTAGCACTCAAATCCACTCAAAGACAGACTTCTCTAAAAACGGTTACTGAAAACAGCTGGGTGCTGAAGTTAGCTATTGCTACTCTATTAAAGAAATCAAGAGTATGTGGTGTATCTGTTAGGGATGTTTTTCAGCAGGAGATTTTAATCTTTTTATTCACAGCAGCAATAAAGTGTATAGTATCGACCAATAATTAACCATGTTCTTTATAATAAAGGAACATGTCACCCAGCGTGTCCCGCAGCTCCCGCTTATATGTTTTCAATATTTTTTGGACAACAATGGAGGTGTATGACTTTCTTTCTGATCTTTGTTGACAATAAGAATAATTAATGATATCACCACACTTTAAAAAGCATGCCAAAAACATAGGAAAGAAAAAGGAATACTCACGGTCCCCCTTTATTGAAGAGCACTGTTGCCCAGCCGTCGACGAAGCCCGGCTCCCGGCTGAACCACAGGACCACCAGCAGGACGAAGATGATGAGCACGGCCCACTCAGCAAACCTCACGCTGCCCAGCTTCTTGTACTCCTGCCTCATCACCTTGTACGCCTCCTTGTCTCTGTCGTTATTCACACCGCAGCCAAATGACTTCTTCAGGCTGAGGAGGAAAGAACAAAGATGCCGTCAAGAAATCAGAGAAATGTTTGAAGATGTATAAGTATGTCATAGGTTCAGGGATCGGGTTCAACTTTAAGGTTGAGCAATCCATGGATTGAAGTTTATAAAAGTGGTGTCATTAAATGGGATACCAAGTTTGGCCAGTTTCTTTACCTCAAAAACTCTTCATTGACAGTTTTACTGCCTAGAAATAAAGGCGGTAAAACAAATAGTCTCAATAATACATTAAGAGAGAAAACGCCCTTATTACTGTAAGACACATTTACATAGCAAAATACCACGAAAAAATGCAAGCAGGACAATCATTGAATTGGATTAAATGGCCATTTCAACATATTGACTGTAGGAAGGTGAAGTTGTCTTACTTGAATCCCAGGAACATAAACAGAAGCCAGAAGTATGCCAGCACCAGCATGATCAGCGCGTTGGGGAAAGCAAAGCCAAACCAGCTGGCAAAGTTGATCACATCCCCATTCCCAGGGAAGAGCCTTCAGAGAAGGAAGACGGAGATATGAGAGGAGGAAAAGAGGGATAAACAGCTGAAATAATATCCCTCTGTGTTTTTAATAATGCCTTACTTGTCGATTTGACCCTTAAGAATGATGTTAGGGGTCGTGCCGGTGAGTGTAGCCGTTCCTCCGATGCTGGCAGCGTAACACACACTCAGACTCATCCCTTTGGTCAGGAGAGCGTACTTCTCATCCATCACTCTTCTCTTGGAGTCCTGCAGTGACTCTGCATTCAAGCCATTTTCACCTGGAGCCAGAAACATTCAGTAAGTTATTGGAAAGTGTTCATTTCACATGTGTTCAGGCACTTTCAAATGAAAAATAAGGAATACAAGATTACTGCTACCAAAAACTACTTTAAAATCGAGCTGTCATCATCTTGTAGATTGTGTATTGACAAAGAGTACAACCGAATGCATGTTCTTTATTTGTGCTGTTTATGAACCAATATCCAAAACTGACAATGGCCACTTAATATTTATTTTATGTTTACACCTCCAAACGTTATGTTGAGAGTTCATGATAAAAAATGTCTCTACGTAATTAATACAAGTACTGATGAGTTACCAAAAGGTGATGTAGAAACAGTGCAGACCACTGATTGGTGGAGAGAGAATAGTCAAAGCACATGGGACATGCTGCACAAACACAGCATTTGAAAACAGCAAAATACCATTATAGGAATAACATGTTCTTGTTTTTACTTGACCAAATTTAAAACCAAGTGTCAAATCTACACCCAGCACTACTCCTTACAATTGAGGAAGTATGAAAGCATTAAGCCAGTCTCCCAACTGTATTGGGATAGCTGCTTAACGAGTTGAGTTGGGGAAATTAGAGCTGAAGCATCCAATGGAAACACATATTTGACTTACACTGTCCATTTTCCAGCTGAGCCTTGGTGTCAGGGTGTTTCTCTTCACTCATCTCCTGTTTACTTTGACTAATCTCAAGCTCAAACGCCTGGTTGTCCTGAGCTGCGGCCTGGAGCTCCCGCTCGTCCGCCTGGGCCTCGGTGGCCTTCAGCTGCTGCAGCACGGCCGAGGCGATGGGCAGCATCATGGCCGTGGTGGCCGAGTTACTGATCCACATTGACAGGAAGGACGAGACGATCATGAAGCCCATCATCAACCTGCGTGAAAGGAGAGTGAAAGGTCAAATAAGGATCTTTAGTAGATCTGGTTTGTTTCCTGTTTATAGCAACCTGTTTCTGTAATTGAGTGCATGTCCTGTTTTTCATCAATTCTGCACATCTTTTCAAATGGATGAGCTGTCGTCTTTGTTTGTTTTTGTCTAGTCATGATGCGTGTGTTTTCAAAAAGGGGACATGGACATATGTTTTCCTCCTGCCTTGGTCAGAACATTTGGGATTCAACAAGATATTCAGATTTAGCTCAACTTTCTCTGTCAAGTTCCAGAAGAAACCAAAAATATGAAGTATAAAGTATTATCCTGAAAATGACAATGTTATGTCTTCTTACAGTGAATTGACGTTATGAATTATTAGATGTTTGTTGTTTTTACTGTTAATGCTTTTTTGTTCTTAAAGAATTATTAATCGTGTGAATTCATAGATATAATCTTGAAGATGCGCATAATAACATGAGAACTGCAGAATGAAGGATTTGTGTAACAACTTGAGCATTTCTGACCTCTAAAATCACTCTGAATTAAAACTACAAAGATCTTTGCAGGAATTGTTGGCCTTTTGGTCACATCTTGTTTTGTCTGCTGTGAGGTGCAGAGGTGAGTTATAGATACATAAGTGGGTGTTCTTGGACCCGGTGAAGTGGTTTTCTTGAAGTATCTTTGTAATTGCATCTTTTTTATCCTTTCATATTCCAGCTATTCCTCAAAAAAAAATGTTTTGGATATCATGCCATTCACATTTTAAATTTAAATTTTAAGAAAATGTAGTTTTTGCATTACTACCCCAAGCTTCCATAAGTGGGTCAAAAATGACCCGCATGCATTTCCTATGGAATCCTATGGGAACCTTTGATTCTTATCACCTGGCTGTCAGGAATACATTCACTGTAGACCGCACAGACTACATCACAAGTGACACCTCTCAGGAAGATTATTTTTACACAGCAAGATCTGATACCTGTCAGTATAATAATAATAATAATAATAATAATAATAATAATAATAATAATAACAATAATAATAATACATTATATTTGTATAGGACTCAAAATCGCTTTACAATATAAGGGAAGGTTAGGGTGGGGGGTATAGGTCTATCAAACTTGATCAACCGGCATGGATTG